TAATTGTTGTTGTTGTTGTTGTTGTTGTTGTTGCTGTTGTTGTTAGTGTTACTGATGTTGTTGTTGTTGTTGTTGTTGTTGTTGTTGTTGTTGTTGTTGTTGTTTTTGTTTTTGTTTTTGTTGTTGTTGTTGTTGAATAGGGACGGGCGTCGTGCCCCGGGCTGTCCCACCCCCCAAAAAAAACAACAACGTCGAGGGCTCCCGCCTGCGATTTTCTCGCAATCCACCGGCCCTTTTAGGATTCGCGTCGGATTTGCATAGGATTCATGGGACTCCTGTAGGATGCCTGGAGGATTCGTTCACGATTCATATGGCTCCTATAGGATTCGTGTAGGATTCATACAATTCCCATAGGATTTCTATAGCATTCGTAGAGGAATCCGTAGGATCCCTATAGGGTTCCTGTAGGATTCCTGCAGGATCCATATCGGACCTAGAGGATTCGTACAGCATTCGTTTAGGATACTTTTTAAAAGGATTCCCATTGGATTCGCTTAGGATTCATAGAATCCCAACCGGATTCCCATAGGATTCGTATGGGATTCATGGGATCCTTATAGTGTTCTTATAGGGTTCCTACAGGATCTGTATAGGATTCATAGGATTCTTATGGGGGGTTCAAGGATTCGTGTAGGATTTATGGGATTCCTGCGGGATTCCCTATAGGATTCTTAGGATGCCTATAAGATTCCATTGGGATTCGTGCAGGATTCATAGGATTCCTCTAGGCTGCCCATAGGATTCCTACACGATTCAGATCGGATTCGTACGATTCCTATAGGATTCTTTCAGGATTCGTATAGGGTTCCTATAGGTCTCTTAAGGGACTCGTGCAAGATCCATTGGATTCCTATGAGATTCCCGCCAGCAGTAGGGGTTGTAGTGGTAGGTTTAGGAGTAGGTGTGGCAGTCGTAGTCATAGTAATTGTAGTCGTAGTCATAGCACTGGTAGTGGTACGAGCAGTAGTTGGTTTATTCCTAGTCGTACGCGTACCAATTTTTGTAGTAGTAATAGTAGTGCAGGTGCGAGCAGCAGCCGTCGAAGTAGTTCGTAGAAGCAGAAGTAGTAGTAGTGGTGGGAGTCGCAGTAGGAGAAGCAGGGGTCGTGAAGGGTTCCGAGGGTCATATAGCCTTCGTATACGGTTCGTATATTATTCGGATGGGGTCCCATCGGATTCTGAGGATCCAATCGGGGTCGTATAGGATTCGTGTCGGAGTCGTATAGGATTCGCATAGGATCCCATAGGGCTTCTAGGATTCGCATAGGATTCGTACAGGACTCGTATATGGTTCGTACAGGAGAGTCGTATAGGATCCTATAGGACCCGTGCCGGATTCGTACAGGAGTCGTTTCGGATTCCTATAGGGTTCCTAATAAGGCTTCCTGTATAATTCCACAAGATTCCTCGAGGTTTCCTAGGATTCCCATGGGAATATTGTAGGATTCTTAGGGTGCCTAGAGGATTCCTAGAGGCTTCCTGCTTCCTCGGAATCCCATCGGCAAACCATAGGATTCACAGGATCCCTATAGGGTTCGTACAGGCTTCTTAGGATTCCTATGGGATTCCTAGAAGTTTTTTAGGATTCCTAAAGGTTGCCTAGAAGCTCCTGTAGGAATCCGCTCCCCAGGATTATCATAGGATGTTTAGGCTTCCTTTAGGATTCTTAAGAGGCTTCCTAGGGTTCCTATCGGAATCCCATCGGAACCCTATTGGATCCGTAAGAATCCGATACGATTCCTAGAGGCTCCCCATAGGATTCCCAAAAAGGCTTCTTAGGATTCCCATCGGACTCCTGTAGGATGCGTAAGATTCCTATAGGATTCCTAAAGGCGTCCTATAGGATTCTCAAAGGCGTCTTAGGATTCCCATCGGACTCCTGTGGGATTCGTAAGACTCCTATAGGATTCCTACAGGCTTCCTATGGGATTCCCATAGGATTCCGTTAGGATTCCTGTAGGATACTGGGACTCCTAGAGGCTTCCTAGGATTCTTGCAGGATTCTTGGAGGCTTCCCATAGGACGCCTATAGTATTCCCAGAAGCTTCTTAGGATTCGTAGGGTTCCCATAGGAATCCTAGAGGCTTTCTGTTGGATTCCCATCGGACTCCCATAGGACACGTAGGATTTCCATTGGAATCCCATAGGACTCGTAGGATTCCCATGGGAATCCCATAGGACTCGTAGGATTCCCATCGGATTCCCATAAGATTCCTACATGATTCTCTGGATTCCCATCGGATTCCTATAGGATTCCCATCGGATTCGTCGGATTCCCATAAGATTCCCATAGGATTCTCTGGATTCCCATTGGAATCCTAGAGGGTCCATATAGGACCTATAGAGGATTCCTAGAGGATTTGTATAATTCCCATAGGATTCCGATAGGATTCCCACAGGATTCCTATAGGATTCCCATAGGATTCCCATTGTATTCCCATTGTTTTCCTAAGATTTATATCGGATTCCTAGGATTCCTATGATTCCTATAGGATTCGTAGGATTCCCATAGGATCCCCATAGGATTCCAGAGCTTCGCTGGTGCAGACAATGCGACATGGCATGAAGGATGGATTCACGTCTGATAGAGGTGGATTTTTTCACAACAACAAATATAAAACCCGGACCGTTGTTGTGTTGTGTTGTTCCGGGGGCCTGGGAAGGGTCCCTGCCCCCCAAAGGGGGAGGGGTCCGGTTGTGCCCCAGCAAAGGGGCACAGGGAGGATCCCCATCCTTGTTGTTGTTGTTGTTGTTGGTGGTGGTGGTGGTGGTGGTGGTGGTGGTGGTGTATGTTGTTGTTGTTGTTGTCCGCGACCCGCCCGCGACCCACCCCGCGACCCGACCGCGATCCACCCGCGACCCACCCCGCGACCCACCCCGCGACCCACCCCGCGACGCACCCTTCGACCCACCCGCGACCCACCCCGTGACCCGCCCGCGACGCACCCGCGACCCAGTCCGCGACGCACCCTTCGACCCACCAGCGACCCACCTCGCGACCCACCCCGCGACCCACCCCGCGACCCATCCGCGACCCACCCCGCGACCCATCCGCGACCCACCCCGCGACCCACCCCGCGACCCACCCGCGACGCATACGCGACCCGTACGCGACCCACCCGCGACCCATCCGCGACCCGGCCCGCGACCCACCCGCGACCCACCCTTCAACGAAACAGTCGGCACCTGCGGCGGGCTCACTGCACAATTTCTAAAACTTAGGCGCCTGCGGCGGGCTTCTTCAGAGCCTCGCAGACTCACGACGCCTCGCCACCCCCTCACTCTTATCCGCAACTGCGGGGTGCTACCGCATGTAATGGTTTTCGGCCCATGCCTCCACCGTGCCCGGGTTGCCCGTATAAAAGCCTATTGGATGTTCGTTGGGGTCTCGTGTGGGTCTGCTCGGCTCGGGGTCTCTTGGAGGCAGTTTTGAGGCCTTTTGGGGACCGTTTTGGGAGCTCTTGGGGTCTCTTTTTGGCCTCTTGGGGGCCTGTTGGGGCCTCTTGGGGACCCCTTGGGTGCCTCGTGGCGGAAGGTTTGAATTTTTGGTTCGTGCTCCCTCTCTTGGGCCCCCTTTGGGGGCCGTCTTGGGACCCTCTTGGACAGTCTTGGGCGCCTCTTCGGCCGTCTTGGGGCGCTCTTAGGTCGTCTTGGGGCCCTCTTGGAGGTCTCTTGGGCCGTCTTGGGGTGGGCTTTGGGGGCTTATTGGGCTGTTCTCGAGCGTCGTAAAGCCGAACGGGCGAGAACGCAAACATCGTCACAAACCTTTGGACAATCCATGTTTGTTGCCTCTTGGGACCCTCCCGAGGGGCCTCTTGGAGGCCTCTGGTGGCGTCTTGTAGGCCTCTTGGGCCATATTGCGGCCATCCTGGGCGTCTTGGAGCGATCTTGGGGCGACTTGGGGCTCTCTTTGACCATTTTGGGGGCCTCTTGGAACCATCTGGGTTCGTTTTGGGGCCCTCCTGGGCGAGGCAGGCCGACGCGAGCGATTCCAGCGGACCCCAGGAAAGCCCGGGAAGCGTGTGGTCTGGGCCCCTAAGGATCTAGTCTGGTTGCAGCATCAGCCCAGCCCTCTCAGTGATGAGTGAGCCTTGGGACACTTCACTTCGTGCCAGAGGCACGGTGGCGGCTTTCAAAACTTAATAGAGGAGCTCGAACTGCAAGCGTTGTGTGGGGAACAAGCAGAATTCAGCATGAAATGCGGATCCCATGGAAGGGCGCTTCAATGGGCGGCGACTCGAAACCATCCAATCGTCAGAGGTCTGGGCCTGTATACCGTGAGACCTGACGCCGCGAAACAAATACTAAGTCGTCGGAAATCAGGACGTCGGAGCCGCAGACCCCATCTTCCCGCAGCTATTCTCGAGCCAGATTGATCTGTGAGGGCCCCAGGGCCCGAGACTGAGCAAAACCGCCGGGTGAACATGGCGACTCCCAGATTTCACGGTGCATTGATTCTGGTCAGACTTCTCCTGGGCCTGCGTTGGGCCCGGCCAGAATCGTTGTACTGATGGCAGCTCAGCTACGCGTTAGAGCGACTCTTCGCCAGAGTCACCTCTGGTGAGCGGCTCTCGGCGGTTGCGGGGCGGCAAGGGCCAAGCCCGGGCACGGAGGTGTCACAGCCTTCTTCGATCGCGCAGCGATCGGCAAGCCGCGCACCAGGGACCACCTCTCGCCCGTCTCCTCTTCCTGTCGCTGCTGCGTCGCGAGTATACTTTTTCAGGGCACGGTTCACAGCATGAGTCTGCCAATCGCAAGTCGGCTTGTGCGGCGTTCCGAGCTTACCCAGCGACCTTTTGATTCGCGATGTTGCTGTGGCACCCGTGGGTTTTATGCGAGGACCAACTGTTCACTCCAGGACCATTCCGTGCGCACTGCCGAATGGGTCGCCGCGTCCCGATCGCAGCTGCGCGGCGCGGGGGTTGGCCGAGACTTTGCTGGCCGGTCGGCCGGAGTCGTGGCAGCGCCCCGCCCACGAGCGCGGGTGGGGGGGCCGGCAAGGCAGACGACGCGTGCTTGCTCCAGGAGTGCCTCCAAGGACGCCCAGGGGGGGCGTCCTTCCTCCCCCTCCTTCTTCTCCTGCCCCTTCCTCTCCTCTTCCTCCTCCTCCTCCTCCTCCTCCTACTCCTAATTACTCCTACTTCTACTCCTCCTTCCCCTCCTTTTTCCACAATTGTACACTATGAATACGAGCTACTCTGCTCTCTCCCCTTGACTCTGCCTGGAAGATGGCCGGCCATCTCCGCGAATAGTTTTGTACACCAGATTTCAACAAGAAATGAGATATGAGAAATGATGCTCCTGCTGCAGCGTGGTCTTCATTTCCAGACCGGCACTGTGCTCCCGCCGTTTAGACTGTTTGAGACTGGCGTTCTCGTCCCAGTGCAGGCCACTATTCCTGATCCGATTCCTCTCGCCCCCCTCATTCCCCCTCCGCCTTCCACTGATCATCCTGCTCCTCCCGCTTCTTCCACTCCAGTTACTGTTGCTGCTGTTCGTCCTCGTTCCCCTGCTTCCTAGGTGGGGCCCAGACCAGGCGCCAAGGCACGCGCCACCTTACCATCTCCCACCTTCCCGAATTCTCCGAGGGGCACACTCCCCTCGCCCCGCGGTGGCATGTCAGGCGGCGCTCTTGCGCCCTCGGCGACTGCAGGCCTCTCCGCGTTGTGCAGTACAATCCCAGGGCGGCGAACACACACTCTCGTTTACTTGACATAATGACGGAACTTGGGGATAAGGACATCATTGCGCTCACGGGCACGCAGATGAAGTCGAAGGGAGAGCAGCGGGCGGAGACCAGGAGAATAGGAGCATACTGCGCAATTTGATATTGGTATTCATGGGGCTCACTAACATCCAAGGCATGTGGTGTGACCGTGTTGTTGCGAAGGTCCATATTCCCGATGTCTTCACTCAAGAAAATTATTCCAGTTCCCAAGACCCTATGGGGGCGCTGCCTTGGGCTGCTTCTTCAGAAAAGAGGCATCATGTACGGATTTTGCGTTGTTGACCATCCCCCACGTGAGGCTACACGAGTTGCCCGTCTTGTTCGTGAACATTGTTTGATCAGCTGAATATTTGGCTCACGGGCACTTCCACGAGACCCCCCGCGAAACATTCCACGAGACACGGGCGACCGTTTTCAACGTTTTCCTGGAAACATTCCACGAGGCACCCCGCGGAACGGTCCACGAAACACCCCGCGAACCATTCCACGACGGCAGGCAACCACACGGATTCGCGCCCGTGGAACGCACATACGTAAAAGCACATGGATTCGTGCACCTGGAGAGAGCAAATCTACAGGCATATGCGCAAAAAAAACACGGGTTCGTGCACTTGGAGAAGGCATATCACTGGGGCGCCCAGATCCTTCAAGTTTGACAAAACATGCGACTCGCTCGAGACATCCTCGGTAACTCTGCGGAGCAAGCGTTTCGCTCGAGACGTCCTCCACGCGCGAAACAGTGGCCCGCACCCTGTGATTTCCCGATCGGGATAAAAAAAAAAGCGTTTCGCTTGAGACATCCTCAATTTTTAATCCGCCGGCCCACCTCGACCTTGATATTTATCGGGGAAAGAATCCACCGGCCCACCTCAGTTGAGGCACCGGGGACAGGCTTACCAACTAAAAGAAACCCTGAGCCGGTGCCCTTTCCGCGAAAACCGATCGCCTCGGTAGCGACGTTTCGCTGCAGTTCCAGGTTCAGCGGCATGCGCAGCCAGCTGGGCGCGCAAGATTCAGTTGGAACCTCTTCTAGGCGGCTGCGCCGCGGTTCGAGCCGAACCCCGATCCACCATGGACCCGCTGAAGCGATGCAGAAAGCAGCAGAAGATTGGAACCTCTTGTCTAGGGGCGCGTGGCGGCTTCGGTTCTGGAGGACGTGGCCTATGTGGAGCGCGCCGCCAGAATGCCTTCGCCTAGTGCGACGCCCCAAATGGATGAACGAGCGCAGGCCGGCCCAGCTACACGGTGTTTGATACATCGATGAGCTTCCCAAGATCACTCAGACTCGAGACACGCTGCTGGGCCTCTTGCGCGCTTGCAGATTATATGACAGGCATCCGATGTTGTGCCACAGCGCGCAGGCGGCACGCATGCCCAAGCATAGCGGCAAGCTTGGCGCAGAAGGGGGGCGCATCATCATGGTCATGTGCACACTCGGACGCGGGCTTCACTGTGCAGTTTTTAGCTCGGAAGGAACCCCAAATGGGACCCTTCCAATTGGATGCACGGAGGCTTCAGGAGGAGAAGGAGGGAGACGGCTATGGCAGCACATATGGCGGGTAATTATAGGATGCAGGCAGCAGGCGCGTTTCACTTTCAGTGGTGTCATGATGCTACAAATGCCTACTACGCGGTGCAGCATCCGGCGATTTTAGAATGCATTGACTCCTGCTACGCGCCACAGGATCGAACATTCATCAGGGTCATAATAATACACAATGCCTTTCTCCTCAGGGCAAGAGTGGCCGTTTTCCCTGGTGACACGGGGGCGACGCAGCTTTCTTGTAGAACATGCTCAGAGCCAGTGCTGGAGTGTTTCGCGGACCTCACGGTCATCGAGAACGGGTCCCCCTGTTTGGAGGCGGCCCTCCCTTTGGGTCCTGAATGGATGGGGCATTTCCCCATGGCGGGGCATAGCAAGCAAGGTGTTGGAGGGCGGGGGGGGGGGGGGGGGGGGGGGGGGGGGCCGTGGAGGAGACTATCAGCAGAGGAAATATATTGGAGAACGAGGCGATTGACAAGGGACTGAGGAGGGCGGGGGCAGGTCAGAAAATCAGCATGCCGGAAAACATTTGTTACCTGCGAGGCCGCGGGGCCCATCAGACGCAGCGTAGACTATGCAGTGGAACAGTGGCAGGAGTTGCTGGGCGCACGCTCCATCACGGCCGTTAGATAGGAGGTTCACGGGCGGCGACCTTCACGCCAGGCCCGGAGCTTCACAAGAGGCTCAATGCAGTGAAGGCGGCGTTTCACAGCATGGGGCGGTTTTGGTATGCGGACTCGCCGTTTTCAATTAATCGCGCGCTCGTGAAGAGCCTCCTGGTGAACGCAGCCCTCTCGGGAATGGAGGTGGCGGCCCACGGGCCTGGGCCCCTTCGGGGCAACGGCGCTCGGCGCCTCCAGGGCTTCATCATGCAGATATGCAGGGCCGTGCTATCTGGAACGTCTTTCCGGGATTCGGAGGCGCAGCGCGAGCGCGCGATGCGCCGTCGCGGCGCACTCCGACGTTTTAAGGTCGCCTTTCTATTTCTCGAAGTACGCATACGCAGGCTGAAGTGGCTCCAGGAGATGGTTGCACGCAAGAAGGACATTGCACCTTATCTCGCCACAGTGTTTGGGAATACCAGGCTCGACGCCCAGATCTTCAATGGCGAAGGCCGCGTGGCTGACTCGGCCAAGCCCTGGGCGCGCCAGCTCAGGGCGACTTCGACGGACTTCAGGAACTGGGGGCAGGTGCAGTTCTCTTCGTCGATGCAGACCCCATTTTCAGTTTTTGTTTGAGGGGCCGCCCGGCGCTTGCAGCGTCGATGTCGGCGTGCTTCGAGCGCGCTTCCTCCTGCGAGATACGGGGGCTCGCGATGCATCAGGGGCCGCGGCGGCTGGCGAGCTTCGCTGCTTGGGGGCGCGGGGCGACGGGGGCGCGTTCAACTCGCTCTGGCCGACGGAAACAAAACAGTTTCATGCCCGCATCGATTCCGCGATCGGAGGGCCGCGCGGTCGAGCGAACATCGCGAAAGTTGTCGCGCATACAGGCAAGTGCACATTGTACGCGTCGACCTTCCGCGGTACCGACGCAGCGAGACAGCAAATGGCGACCCGCCTGAAACGGAATTACCGCCCACAAGGTCTCGCTCGGTTCGCATTGACCCTCATCGAGCCAAAATTGGAGCGCATGGTATGCTTATCGCCTTTCGAGAACGCAGCCGACTTTTTCAAGCGTGCTCGTTTGCACATTGTACCTCACTTGCTTCCTTCGTTTCACATTCTTGAAGTTCAGCCTCAATGGGGGGGGGGGGGGGGGCGAAGTGGCGGGCGGCGCCGCGCCCACGCGGGTCGATTCACGCCGCGGGGCCGCCCGAGCAGAGAGAGAAAACATGACAAACAGAGGCAGCGGGCGAGGGCGGGGGCGATGCCATGGACAACGCGCTCGCGACAATGCAGAGTCTTCTTGTCCAGCTCGAAGGCAGAGTCAGGACGCTGGAGAAAGAGTCGCACGTCCTAATCTTGATCAACAAAAAAAGCGACGCCCCCCACTCAGATGCAGGATTGTTTCCAGCAGTACCCCAAGATGCGGAAGGAGGGCCCCGACGCCGACCACGGACCCCCAGGGCGCTGCTGCCTTTCGGGGGTTCTGAACGCGCTGCGCATCTTCGAGCGCAGGGGCGCCCCCCAGGATGCGATTGATGCTAGAGGGGCCGCAGCGGCTATGCAACATGCTCAAAGCAGGGGGGCCGACAGCGGACGGATACGGGCGAAGGAGACGACCTTCCAGAAGCAAGGGGAAGAACCCAAGGTCCGCATGGGGTTCGGCGGCCGGGGGGAACTCGCGCTGCCGAAGGACCAGGCGGGCCACGAGCAACTGATGAGAGCAATGGGCCAGCCCGAGGGGCGACTTACAGCAGCTATTTCCCGCGGGGATGCCGACCGCCCGTCTTCAAATGCGCGGGGCGCGCGCGCCCGTCGAACTGATCGTAGCCGAGGCTTCGCGCAGCATGGGAGGCAAGTTTCTGGGCGGTCGCGCGCCCAGGGGCAACGTAGTGCGGCAAGTTGGCCGTGGCGGAGGGTCTAAGTGCAGCGGTGCTTGGAGACTGAGCGTACACGTGCGTATGGAGTCTTACTCGTGGGCACGGATATCTGAGCATGGCAGCAGTACCCTTCTTGGGTGAGGGGCCTCTGGGAAGTATCTGGGCGTGGAGTCTCTGAGAATTACCCTGGGCATGGAGGCAGTATTTTTTCTTGGGCATGGAGTTTCTGAGAAGTGTTCTGGGCACGGGGTCTTTGATGATTATTCGGGCATGGAGCCCATGTGG